CTCACGACTCACGACTCACGACTCACAACTCACGACTCACGACTCACCCTCATCTTAGCACTCAAACTCACGACCGCATTCGAGTGGTGTGCATGCGCAGCCATGCATGCATGCCCATATCCCGCGGCCGCCAAATCGTGCTTGCGTCTCGCACCTTCTCGGTTGCGCACCATCCTCTTCCGCAGAACACGCATCAGCAGACAATGGTTCACCTTGCATCGCGGGGCCTCAAGCATTCCACCGAAATGAATGACAGCGAGGTCGTCACGCCTCGCGTAGAGATGTGACTAAAGTTAACTGCAATGCAGGATGAGGCGGCAAGAGACTCGATGTTCGAGTGATGCATGCGCTGCAGCGCCGACCTAGGCCCCTTGTTGCGGGAGTGAGGAGCCAGGCTCAAGCAGCGAGGCCAATTAAGGTCAAGAGCAGTCACGAAGCTGCGGCATGTTGTTCCTTGATTGCCACACAAATCGATCGTATACTCATCTCATGCGCAATCACCTTTGCCACTTTACCGCCATCGTCTTCCATACAGCAGTGGTACAGTGTCGAGGCAAACTCGCAAGATGATGCTGCTGCTGACGTGGTCGTCAATTTGGACAATGTTGCCCAAGCCGAAGAGATGGCCGGATGCTGGTCAGGCGCATCAATGGCTGCGATCGGACCTGCTATGCCGCGGAGAGAGGAGTTCAGGGTGACGGTCTATCGAAGCAAAAGCGACCGACCAGGTTGTACCTGCACCCACCTGTAGACACGCTCGACCCTGTGCGCGATCCCAAAGGCTGCGAGGATCAGGACAGGCTGATGCGAAGACAGCGGCAGAGAAAGGGATTGTTCGAGTGCCCAGCGCTTGCTCGCTTACCGCCGCCACAACGCCAGCCTCGCTGGTTGCCGCTCTCACGAGGCGCCAATCATGACCGGCACACCTCGAGCATGAAGCTTCCAAAACGCACCACATCTTGCTCGATCAGTTTGTACATCCGACATTTGCCCAGCAAGATCATCCACAGTCGGACGCAACATCTTGCTCCCTGGACGTCAGGGCGTAGTGCTGCACCAACGAGCAGGCTGACTTGCCCTTTCTCTTCGCCGGCCCCCAGAGCTCAAACGCTTTTTGACAGGACACTTGCCCGCCATCACGTTTCGAGAACCATATGGCAGCGAGCCCAGATGTGAGCGTGAAGGACGAGTGCGCCTTGACATCCATCAGCTTCTTGCTATTCGACAAAGACAGACTGTTTGCTTCTCCTGAGCTGCAGCTCATGCTCACCTCACCTCTGATTTTCCTGTGCTCACTCTCTGCCGGCAACGACATCAACCCATGACCCATGTTCTCTCTAATATCCGGTCTGCTCTTCTTCACGCAGCGTTCGTCAACTTGCACTACGCCCCCGCCACTTCCAAAGGCTCTCGACAGACTTGAGCCAGAAAGTCCCGCTCCAATGCCTGGACCAGGCGCAAAGAGCCCGAGGACCATGTCGGCCGTGGCTGCCTATCAGTCCGCCGAATCAATGCTGTTGCATCCGACTGCGATTCCCCTGTCGGCTTCCGCTCCTCGACTCTTCAAACCTACAGCGCGATTTCGGACGAGGCTGAAGACGCTCCCCAAGATCTCAACCGGTGCCAGTGGCTCTAGTACGGCTGCCGTGACTACATGCAAGCAGCTCAAGAAGGCAAGGCTGGCCGATGAGAGAGAGAAGACGCTTTGGTGGGCCGATGTATGCGGTCCTCTGCCCGCTCTCGAGCCTTTGCGCCTGAGCTCGTACAGGGAAGGAGGGCTGACTGCGAAGAGTAGGCAAGAAGAGCTCGATGACGCGGAGTCAAAGGCCAGCGGAGCTGCGAAAGATGTTTCGATCGAGGACGCGAATCGGCACTCATCAGCTGACTCTGGCGTAGTAGCATCCGCAACACCTTGCCCCACGACCACTTTGCCTACATTCTTGGAAGAAGACCACTGCGCGCCCAACAAGTCTGGAGGAATTCCACGAGCGGGCACCAAAGAGGGATCTTTGTCGTCCTTAGATCGAGATCGCCTTCAGATTGAAGCAACTCGTCAATCAAGCATTGTGGATGCGAAGCAGCCAGCTGAAAGCGAAGGCGTGACCCACATGGCCATTCATCTGCCTAGGACCCCGATAGCATCGCGTCCCAATCATGCGCGTGCTCCCAACTTCGACGCAGAAGAGCGCTTTGCCGGGCTGATCCCGCCTCTTAGACCTCCTCGCCATCCCATGAGAGGATGGGCTTCCGAGGCTCATTGTTTTGCCACATGCATCGGAACGGGCTTCGAAGATCGATCGGGCTTGAGGTATAGAGGAAGCGCTTCGAGCCTCGTTGAAAAGCCCGAGGGGGCTCCCACACAAGCGCCACGTCCAGGCAAGAAGCAAAAGAGCGACTTTGTCAGTCGCTTTGCCTTTCAGCATTTGAGGGCGCCTGTAGAGTGGGACTGCAACGCGAAGCAGGAAAAAGACTCAAATACGCTCGCTCTGACGCCCCAAGAAGCTTGTAGGAGATTCTCGACGTGTTCGTCTTCTCGAGCGCCTCCGCCGCATTTGAGCCTC